GCCACAAGGGGGATTGTTATAAAGGGTTGCGAATCACAATCATGAAAATTATTACTAAGGCTGGTTTCAAAGAGAATATGTAATATAGGTATCTTGAAGTGCTAGCATCTCAGCATGTGTTTTGTTCGGAAATGCTTTGGCCCCTCTTGGTGCTTAATTGCTCTGCTATATACAGCATCAGTTCACGGGGGGCTTCAAAAACGACACTAGGTCGCATTTGGTACAAGAATTTTTTTGAATTTTCGGAAAATTGATATGGATAATTTTATTTACTCACATTGAGTATTAGGATTGTTAAAGTTTTCCCAAAAAAAAAAAAATTCTTAGAATTTATTTTTTTGAAACTTTTTGAACCAAAATGATATCCAGGGTGGTATTTTTGGATTCCATGACATATAAAAATTTCACACAACTTTTTGATAATATTTTCAATAATATTTTAATTTATCAAACAATTTTTTAATAATATTTTCGGAAATTTCATTTTTCCAGCATATTCTTAGCTAAAATTTATGATTTTGAAGCATAAAAAAAGTTCTCTTCTGCCAAATATTCTTTTAGTGAATGAACACTTAGAGCCCGTTTGTTTCGCCTCATAGAAAAAATAATTTTTATCTCTTTCTTATTTTAAAAGTATTTTTTACAAAAATTAAAGCTATTTATGTTTTTATAAAAATATTTAGCTTTTAACTTCTGTTTTTTTAAAAAGTTAAAATTTTTAGCTTTTACAAAAAAGTAGAGTATTGACTTTTTTTGCGACTTATGCTTTTTTTAAAAGCAAACATCCAAACGAATTTAAAGTAAGAAGTGCTTCCTTTTTTCTTAAAAAAAGTGACTTTTGAGAAAAAAAATCCATTCAAACCGGCCTTATTCACTTATTCCCCCCCCCCCCCCCCTGTTTCTCCTTTTAATAATAAAAAAAATTCCCTGCAAGAAGTTTTTTCCTTGAGCAGTGGGTGTTTTTTTTTTCATTTATTTATTTATTTTCCTATATATATATATATATATATATACACGTATGAGTCTGCCAGTCCGAAGTTTTATTTTGTAAAATGTAATAATACTAGTTAATTTTCTGTGTATTACACATACTTCTGAAATTCGGCTATAATTTTTAACAATTATTTATTAATTGATTAAAAATGGTATATATTAATAATTGCGGAACGTTATATTTACAAAAATTTTGTTTATAAATTATATTATGTCTAACCGATCATACTTTAATCAAGAGTGTATGACCGGTTATACTTAGTGTAATTTGTACAAAAATTTTGTAAACAGATCATTCCCCTTAATAATTAGATTAAAACGAAAAGAAAGATGCACATGATAATTTAATTAAAAGAAAATTTAAATTTAAATTGTTTTAAAAAGATAAAATTAATAGAAATGACATGTATTATATTTTAAGAAATAGTATAATAAAAATTTAAACAATTGATCTCAAGTACAAATAGTTTAATTTAATTCGTGATAATAAATACTGACGATTAAATATGCGAGATAAACAATTTAAATAATTTTGATTAGATTCTTTGCAAGGTTATCTAGAGTAGTTGGTATCCAAGGTGCTTCATAAGGCAAAAGGAATTTTCATCATAACAATAAGAACAACTGATTGAGTACTCTTTCAGCACTATCTTTTTTTTATTTTATTTTATAAACCACTGATTTCTTCGGGAGAGATAATTTTATTTGAGTTGAAAATATTCACATCATGGTGGAGTTAATTTTCTCAATTTTTTTTTTTTTACATTTGCAAAGACTTAAACCCACGTCTTGCTTAAGCAAAATAAAACATGTTCGACCACTAGCTTATCCCTTTGGTTTTCAGCACTATCTTTGCTAGTGAGCTATTGATGTATTGAGCTGACGGCCCAATTTACGACTTGGGTTGTTGAGATCCTTAATTGCATGTTTATTCGATCTATCAAACTAAGCAACATTATTAATGTATAATGGTTAGAAAAGCAATAACCTTAAACGCATAGCAATTATAGAGACTCCTTGTTAATAGCAATCACGTAAAGACATGTTACGTAATTCTTAAGGGTACCCCTCCTTCACCATGCATAAATGGTTAGGACCTCTGTGGACAAAAGAATGTTCTCCTTTACATTTTATAGTTGCCATTAATATTGACTTGGGACAAGTACTGTTTCACCCTGTGCAACCGAAGTTGAATAGCTCTAATGCTTCTAAACGGATGGAACTTCATCCCCTTAGGAACTTACAGGAATATATATAATTATAGGGAAAATGTAAATAAAATAACAAGACTTGTTAGTTTTAGCCTAGGATTCGTGGAATGAAGTGAAATAAACAACTCCAAAAAAATATGGAGAGGCAAAGTTTAAGGCAATTACAGATATAAAAATTCTTATATTTAATTTGATCTTGGATGACTAATTTTGAATTTATTTTGTGAACGTAATTTATTAGCATTTGATCGATAGTTCAACAAGATTTATTTTGATGAGAAATCCGATTGTCATGTAACATAACAATCAAAACATATCCTGCTCATACATCGAAAATTCCCCTTTTTTTTCTTTTTTTTTTTAATTAGCCCCACCATAATTTTGTTTCTGCAGAAAAACTATTCATCGCTCCTGTAACAGCATGAAAGCAAATCCCTATTTTGATTGCCACAATATTTGACGAAACAAGATAAATATTTAACGTTACCCTTAATTAGTTCATTGCTATTTCTGTGGCCCTGAATCTTCATAATTATTGTCTTGGGTTGAAGAAAGGATAAAATTATTCGAGGTTGGCTAGACAAGGCTGCATTGCATTCTAACGGGCCCATTTGTGGGTAGAAACGGCATTCTAAATTAGTACCTGAACCGCACAATGCAGCAATAGCCTAAACCCCTAGCCCCGGCCCATGTAAAGGTAATAGCCCTTGACCATAGCTATCCATCAGGTTATTCGGATCAAAATGTAATAGGAAAATCGAGACTTAAAATATTTATCTCTCATGTTCCGCATTTTAAATTAATCTCATAATCAGTTCAAAGAGTCGAAACTTGTTCGGATACCGGGAGGAACCTAATCGCCTTAAAAAAATAATTGGGATATGTTTCCAAAAAAGATGTAATAGGAAAACAAATGTATCAATACTTAACCGGGGATCTAGATCTTCTCATGTTAAAAAAAAATATGACATGATCATTTGAGAAATTATAACTATACAAATGTGGATTAATGATAATAATAAAAGAGAAAAAAAATATTAAAATAAATAGCTACAAAATTATAACCGTTATTCACATTTACATGATTGTGATATTCCCATATAACACTATGTCATGTTTTTTTTGTTTTGTTCACATGACAAGATTCGTTTCCTCATATCTGAATTTGTTTAAATTTTAACACAAAACAGCTTTCGGACAAAGTCATCGTAACATTTTGATTATGGGATTAACGTTTCTCGAAGATAAAATTGTTTTCTGATATTGAGAAAAAAAATGGAACATATTTTAATAAAATTTATGATACAAACAGAAAATAATTTTTTTAAAATATCTTTCATTTTTTCGCATAACCCCAAAATGACTTTGATTATACACAATAACCCAGGCAAAAAATATTAAAATATTACTATTCTAATAAATAATTATGAATACATAGTTGTTTCGAAACTATCTACGGATCTATTGCACTCATTTACGTTCAAATTAGACGTGACTATTCACGACTAAGTTAGGCGTGACTCTCAAGACATTCACGCCTAAATTAGGCGTGACTCATCTAGTGTTGACACGTGACACAAAAAATTAATAGTTTAACTGTAAAACTTTATAAGGCCATAACTTTTGACTCGGATATCCGATTGAGGAAATTCTTTTTTTGATTCCACATAACTTTTCAAGATCTATGCAATGACATCTCATTTGATATATTTTATCTCTCACAAACACAATTCAAATTTGCAACAATGATACTATAAAGATGACACCAAAGTGGATTAACTCTTCTATAAATAAGATGACACCAAATTTTCTATTAAATACAAAATGCAATCAGTTCCTATTAAATACAAAACGCAATCATCTCCTATATCATTAAATTCAAAATTCAAATAACCTCCAACAAATTTATTTGAATTGGCGACAATCTGTAACCAACTTATAAAAGTACAACACAATCAGCTCCTATTAAATACAAAATGCAATCAACTTATTGGAGGTAATTTGAATTTTCAATTTTGAATTTAATGTTATAGTACCAAGTGTTTGAAAAATATAGTGTACAATGTTATTTATTTAATTATTAAAATATATACAAATTTATATAATATTCTACCAAGTGTTTAGAGTATTTATTTAATTTTTTTTATTAATACAGATTTTTCATATTGATTTTTGAGTTTGAATCACAAATTAAATCTTTATTTTGTTTTTCTTATTAATAATAATTTTTTAATTTTTTTTGGTAATACACTATATAATATAATTATTGCAAATTTGAATTGTGTTTGTGAGATTAAAATATATCAAATGAGATGTCATTGCGTAGATCTCGAAAACTTATGTGGAATCAAAAAAAGAATTACCTCATTCGAATACCCGAGTCAAAAGTTATGGCTTTTCAAAGTTTTACAGTTCGTAAGCTGACTTTTTTTGCCACGTGTCAACACCAGATGATTTACGCCTAAATTAGGTGTGAATGCCTTGGAGTCACGCCGAATTTGGGCGTGAATAGTCACACCGAATTTGGACGTGAATGAGTGCAATAAATCGGTAGATAATTTCGAAACAGATATGTATTCATAATTATTTATTAAAATAGTAATATTTTAATTTTTTTTTGCTCAATAACTCAATACAAACCCATACTTAATAAGTCTGTTAATACCCGCTAATATGTACAACCAATACCAATGATAAACCACTTTCAATATTCCCACATTTGTCTAGTACCAAATAATTTTGTATACTCAATGCTCTATAAGGTATCAAAAACAAGGAAGAGAAGTATATATATCTTTATATTGTCAACAAATACTGGAATTCATAGTCATAGGGTATCTTTTCAACAATGGTAGAAGCCTTGACATTACTATGGCCTCTAAAGCAATCCACCATTGATTTCCTTAGAGTCCCAGATGTAGGTAACTGGTTGCATACCCACTCCACCAGTGAGTCTGTGTCCACAGCAAAATCAAGCATGTTTTTGAGTAGGAGCTCTGGTAATGCTACCCTTTTGGTGCTAGTAGCCAGAATTGAAGCCTGCAAATAGTCTAGTTTTGATTTCTCCAATTCAGCTGTAACACCATCACCTGTATATATCCTCACCTGCATAAAAAAATGCACACATATATATAGCTTAATCATTTGCTTAAATTGGTGGTAAACAAGTTTTCTTATATAGAAATACTCTTTTTGCTTATAGCCAAGGGAAAAATGAATTATATAGATATGTAATATGTTAATTAGCAGAAGGACTTACAGCTGGAGAAGAACGAGTTCCACAACACAGAGAGAATATGAAATTAGGATCTATAAACTCAAGTCCATAAAGTTCACGAACAACTGATTCTTTTTCCTCCCACTCGCCCTTCCTCTGTACCTAAACCATAAGACATGGTTTTGGAGATATCATAATAATAATAACAAAGAAGAAGAGGAAACTGGTTGATCATGTTTACCTCTTTCGTATTAGAAGTATCTCGTTTCCTTAAAATAAAATGCTCTATTGCTTGTGCATTTATTATGTTGCCTCCAATGTTGAGGGTTGCCTACACAGAAGGCAATGCAATTCATCATTAAATTTCTAGAATCTGATAACCCCTTTTTTTTTTAATTATTTATAATTATAGCACTTTGCATCAGACCAGGACAATAACATCTACATCAAGATTTTAATGTACCTTGTTCAACAATGCAAGTAGCTTTTCTGGGGTGGATGGCACTCCATATTGGATAAATCCCTGAACAACAAACAATAAATTAATTATAGTCCCGATCCATGTCTCAGAATTCTCATTCATCAGATTGGTCATAAATCAAATTCTAAAACAGCTTATCTGATTTTTAATGCAAAGATCACACAGAAATTAAAAGGGGAATGTTCTACTATACATGCATGATACAAGCATTGTACACGTTGATCCAGAATGCTAATTTCTGTTGGATTGTAAGGCTTCTCAAATCAACCGTCTGAAGATTGCTCATCAAGATCCTGTATTCCACAAGAAACGTATGAAAAAGTTATTCTGAATTTTGTCCAGTTGTCATTGTACAACTTCATTGTTCTAATAGAATTTACAAAGCTCTCAATTAAAGTTGGTTAGTCTAATAAATGTAGTTCACATCATTCATGTCATACCTTAACTTTCTTAGTAATGGAATAGAGGAAGGACTTGAGATGAACTTCGGGTCCATAGAGCTGGAGGTGAATATAACAAGGTTCTTGTAAGGACCAATGTCCCTTGGAATGGACTCTTCTGTGTTAAAGACACCATATGGGTCTTGCTGCCTTGATTCCTTGTGCAACATGAGGCTTGATTTTGGGTTTGACCCAGTATCGACCCTGAAGCTTCTTGAGCTTAAAGAAGAATGCACAGACCTTGAAATGGTCCCTAATTTCTCCAATTCCATTGCTCTTGATGTTCTTAGTAGTCTTACATATATGAAATTCAAACACTTCATGATGCTCTCAGATAGCTTGTTGGGTTGCCACTTCAGGTCATTCTCTTCTGACAGAAGTGGGTCCAATAGTGATCTAGTTGGGGGATCTAAGTACATCTCTGAATTACGTTCCCTCAGCTAAAAATAATAGTGATTGCAAATTAGCAAATTCACACAGATCATTGTTTAAGCTTTTTATATTAGTTCATTACGAAATAATAGATTCCAATAAGATTTGATTGCTATTTATAGCTTCTAAAGAAAACTTGGGCTGGTTTTTGTTTTGATATGAATTTTATTTTGAAAGCCATATAGGTTGATCTTTGCATGGAGCATCAAGTGGGATTTTATTTTATTTTCTTTGGTGTTACTATGGCCATGTGGCCAAAACTAATCTTTATTTTGATTGATTAAAATAAGGAGAGGGTTATAGTTACAAATTTTTACAAACTACACTATGTACTAGGGATAGTATACTGTGTGCCGGAATGTACTACCCTAGTACATAGTGTAGTTTGTAAACAAAAAATTTGTAAATATAACTTTCCTTTTAAAATAAACCTACATGGCTACCGTAAAGAACCAATTCAACCCAAAAGCTTAAGTTATTGGGTGAGGCTACATTAATGATTTTATATATCTCAACACCCCCCTTACACGAGAGCCCACTGGACTTGAAGGGTGGACGATGCACAGGCCCATCTACCTGTGCGAAGAAAGAAATTCCACTAGAAAGAAAGTGGGGGACGGTGAGAATCGAACCCGGTACACTGAGGTTCTGATACCATGTAAAGAACCAATTCAACCCAAAAGCTTAAGCTGAGGCTACATTAATGATTTTATATATATCAACAGCTACATATATGTATAGGGAAAATGATCCTACATACCTTAGGTGATGGATGGCGGGGGTCTCTCATAGGTGAGGGAGGCTTCATTATCCCATTTTTTCTTGGAAGTCTTTCTTGAAATTTCACATCTTCTTGGAGATTATTTTCTTTCTGTTCAACAGAATTTTTCAAAAATCCTGTTTTCTCATTAAGACTGAAGTCATTGAGATTATAATCTCCCTTTATAGCTTTGCTTATGAAATGCAATGACTTGGGTTCAAATGCCACCCTTTCATGAACACTTCTGTGAATAGGACTAGGATTTGGAATTGGTGCAGTTAATAAACAATTGTTAGAATTGCTCAGATTCTCTTGTTCCAATGTTTTTGACTTTAATTCCTTGGTGACTTCTTTTTCATGCTTCAAACCAGATTGGAGTTGGCTTATTTGACATTCAAGTCTTGCTACCTCATCCTCAACCGTGACTAGCTCTGCCAAGAGTTCTTTCATCTGCACAAATTGCATAATTAATGTTAGTAAGTTTTTTCAGGCATCCTTGCTATGTTAAGTTTGAAAAATTACAGCCACCTTATAAAATTGCAATTTAACTATTCTAGAGTACCTTATGTGCATATTCCATATACTTCTCTTACGTATGTAGCTTCTATAAACCCCAAAATGTGACAGACAGGGTTGAATTGAGATAAATTAAAACATTTTAAGAACTCAATTTATGAATCTACAGACTTTGAAGGACCTACTTGAGGTAACATATTTAAGGATATTTCTAAAGTCAACTGTTTGGGTGGTTCTTAAAGCCTCCTACATGCATATGTGTGTACATGCTATGTGTTACTGCTCTATAAATTGACCCCATATCCCTATATGAAATTTTGAATAAATAGTGACAAACACTCTGAAAAACTAGCTAGAGAAAGAAAGCAATAAAATAATATCAAATTGTGAGGTGAGGATTATATTAGTCATATTACCTTGGGAGGAAGAAAATTGGGAACAGATATCGCTGAATCAGTTGGTCTATTATGCACCATCACCAATATCTCATGAACCTTTTGTTCTTGCTCTAGTAACTTTTGAAGCATAGAGACCTGTTTTAACTTTAAAAAGTCATATAATTTTCTCATTGAGTGGAGATGTTATATGTATATCCGTGAGAAGAATATAAAGATCGTTAAATCGGTTGAACATCTCTTCTATAATATGAATGGAAAAACATTTTGTACTTTTAAAAGATACAAATTATGTGAGCTGTTTATAACTATGTAATCCATAGTGTAGATAGTTATAATATTAAAGTTGTACTTTTTTTCACTTTCCACATCAGTCGACAGGTTCTGGAAAGAGAAAAAAAATACAACTTTAATATTATAACTATCTATTCTCCAAAATACATAATTATAAGCAGCTAAAATGACACAACTTGTATCCTTTAAAAACACAAACTATTTTCCCAATATGAATATGCATAATTTTTTAAGGCTGTGCCTTTGAGGGGTATGGTTCTCATTCACTGCCTGTCCTCTCCATTGGCAAATATAGCAAACTTAGAGTTCCAAAGTTTTATACTAATTAAGTATCGCTATACTTTGACATGATCATGAACACAGTCATAGCTTTTTCAAAAGGAGAGTGATACTTTTTACTCCCTTCTTAATTGACTACTATAAAAGATATTGGTTATGGTTGGGGAAGATCATCTTCTTTAGAATGAAAAGTATGGTAGCCTATAAACTATAAAGAGCCATGCTCTACAATGATCTTTTGAAAAAGAATAATGTACCTCATAATTCTTTGTTAAGGGTGACATTAAATGGCACAAAGTTCATTAATCCCAATTGGTAGATCAAGAGTTAGCTAATTCTTAATTAATTTGTGCAAATCTTAATTAGTAGTGACATCCTGAAATGCACCGCTGGTTTTGTTTCATGAAAAAAGTTCAATTATTTTTCACATCAAGATCTTTAAATTGAATAATCACTCATATAGTTGAAACAAACATGCAAATTCAAAATATGAATTGTGTGTGTGTCCTTAATTCGTTCATGGAAGCTCATTCATTCTTCTAAGTTAACATTCTATATATTAATTAATAAGAATTTAATTGCCATCAAAATAAGCAGTACGTATATATATCCAACTACCTCTCTTTCAAGTTCCTCTTTCTTTTGCCGCCCAGTAATTTTCTTTTTTCTCTGCAAACAAAGAAAAATACACTGAAGATTAATTCTTATAAAGAAGGGCATACATTTTTTTTTTTTTGTTATCTTAATGGGGGTACTGAGTACAAAAAGATTATTTGCTTTATTTGATAATAAATATGAAGCATGTAATAATCAAAAGTGTTCCCCTCCAATCACCAACCAAAATAAAAATACACTGAAAAAGAAAAAAAACAAATAAAGACAAACCATCCCTATTTGTCTTCATTTAAAACACTTAATATATGCCATGCATACTGGTTGGATTGTCTTATATATATAATATAATAGATAATATTTGTAGAGAGTAAAACAATAGTTTTAGTGATAATTAAAACACAACTATATATATTGATAAAAATTATTAGAAGAATATAAAATAATTAAGATGGATCATGAGACTTACAATGATCTCAGAGTTAGAGTGAAGTGAAGAGAATTCTACTTGACTGTCCATGGAAGAAACCTCACTGCACCCAAGTTTGAAATTACCACCCCAACGCTTGGAGGAAACATTAAAACAACAGTGGATTGGGGGGCTATGAGGTTCATGGAACAAGTGTTGTTGTTGGTGAGAGGATGATGACACAAGCTTGAGGCCAAAGAAAGAGCGGCTACTAAGGGTTGATGATGTTGTTGGAGTTGAGGTTTGAGATTGAATAAGACATGAGGATGGAATTTTGTGAAGTGTTTGAGAAGATGAGAGAGAGCTTTCAGGGTGTTGTTCATGATGTTTGTTCAAGCACTGGGATAATATTAACCGTCCCTGTTGTGGTTGTGAGTGCTGGTGGGAGTGGGACATCATGCAAAGAGAAAAAAGAAAGAAAAAAGAAAGGAGAGGGTGGTGTGGTGGGTTTTGTGTCTCTTGGCGTAGCTTGCAATCCTGGTTTTTTCGAATGTTTAGATAGCGGTTATCACTTTTCTATTGGTTCATTGACATTCTAAGTTTCTTTCTTTCTAATTACATATGACTTGAAGTAAAGGTAGCAAAACGGTTGGTTTAAATAACAATATGAGCTACATGATATATGAATTGTCAAAAAGAAAAAAGAAAAAGAAAAATTGGTTCAAAGCCGAGAAAGAATTTTCGAGAATAAAGTTAGATAATTATCACACCCTTAACTATGTAAAACGGATTCTCAGCCCAAGTTCTGAGGATATTTGAAAGTCAAAAGAATAATTAACATCATAGAATAAAACAATATATAAAAGTAACCTTTATTTTTATTTTTATTTTAATTGAGTTGATGAAAAGGCCGCTTTGTAATTGTTACCCGGATGAATTGAGTTATCTAAATTTAATAAATTTAAATCAATGATAATTTTTCACTAATAATTTTGACCAATAAAAAAAAATAACAGAGAAATAACACAAGAATTTACGTGGAAAAAACCCACAACTCCAGTTTGAACACTTCTAGTTCTATCCAATTTGGGAGAACAATACATTGTAACGAGTCACGCTCAATTCTAAGTACAATAAAATATACCATTATATAACAATTTTTCCAAACCTACATCTAGATTTAGGTACCTTAATTTACCGTCGTAAATTGCACCCAATTGTCAAACTCCTAACAATTGCTAAATACACTTTCAACTTAACTCTAAGCCAAAAGTAGGAGTGTTCATCAACCAATTCAAACCGCAATAACTGAACCGAAAAATTGATAACCGAATAAATCGAAAATCAAAAAATCAAAAACCGAAAAAAACCGTAAATTTTAATTGGATTGGATCGGATTTCGGATTGGTTGATGAAAACCGATCCAATCCAAACTGATCCAATATATTAATTTCCCTCTACCTAATTGGGTCTTTTCCCAATCATAACCTAAAAAATGTTATTGAAGACAGTGGGTGATATAGATGATATTATATCACTAAAAGATTGAACCCATGTATAGAACCAGAGGAGGTAGATGATCAGAATTATCACTGTGCAATTATAAATATTAAAATTAAATAACTGACTTACTTGAAATCAGATGATGATGCAAGCAGAATGATGAAATCAGATAGAATGATATGCCAGAAGTAGAGGAATTAAATCCGAGTCCACAGAACGTGTCTCCTTAAGACAATTTGCCCCCTCACTGATGCCTAAGGTTGATGGACACTTGTCTCCCAGGATAGAACGAATTACGTCTGAAGAATGGTGGCACTACCAATCAACAGCCCAAACGAACACAACAATTGCCAGAAGAAATCACACCGGAGGATGAACAACAGTATGCAAAACCGGAAGGAGAAAAATTCCGGCAGAGTTTAAGTGCAGAAAAAACTGGATAAATTTCTGAAGGTGTCAGTGTCTATTTATAGACACTGACCGGTCACGATGAACAGTCGCCGGCGGCGAACCGTCGTGTCTGACGGCGGCGAACGGATGCGACCGGTGACTGTTCCGATGAGCAGGTACAACCGGTGACCGGTTCAGCGAGCAGACACACCGGTGACTGGTTCACGAAGGGAAAGAACCGGTTTGGTTCAATACTGCTCAAAAAATCCGGCGGGTAGAAACGTTTGGGTTGGAGGGAAGCAACGGTAAATATTTGGACAAAATATTAAAAAATTATTTAATAAAAAATTATTTTTTATTACACACTATGAACCGAACCGGCCGGACGGCGGCGGCGGCGCGCGCGTGTGTGGTGAACCAATGCTCACCTAGCTCCTCCCCCTACATAAAACATGTAGTGACCCAAGGGCCAATCTAAGAGAGGGAAGTGGGAGCTTATATACTCTCTCACTTCTTACTAATTGTCCAATGTGTGACCTGTTGAAACCCACACACCTCTTCATCTTCCCTTTTCTCTTTTCTTTATTAACCCACTTCTTATTCATAACCAATGGATCATTGTACATTAATTCATTCATTAATTCCAACAAAAAATTCTAAACCCTAACCAATCAACTAAATCCAAGAAAAAACTTAGTCACATCTCATTAACAAAATTTCATATATGAAAAGCTTCATATCTCATTGTCAAAAAAAAAAAAAAAACTATATTGTCGTTTCCTAATGCTTTTGTATTTCAAAAAAAGAAATTACAAAGCCAATATATACAAAAGATGTTATTTGTACAATAATCATGAAACAAATTTTAGGATTTTCAAAAAACCGAAAACCGATCAAATTCAAACCGAAAAAAATTGGATCGGATCGGATCGAATTTGAAAAAAAATCCAAACTGAATGGATGATTACATGATCAAACCGAAGAGATTGGATCAGATGATTTTTGCTTCCAAAACCAATCCAATCCAGACCGCGAACACCCCTAGCCAAAAGAATAAAACTCCAATTATCACTAAATAATTTCTCACATATCACCTACTCCGAAAATAGCTAAAACAAGAACAAAAGAATAATTTAAGAGCTACTTTACATGCTTCTAATCAATAAGCAAATAGATACGAATCAAACCTGATCGACGCACTCAATGAATTCGCCCATGTCTTGGTTGCCAAATTATTTTAAATTTGTTTAAGAAGAAATACTCATAGTACATGCAATGTGCTCTTTCTCTTTAATGCTCAGTCACACTTTGAAAAAGACTAAAAATTATTATTTTTATAGACTTTTTTTCAAAATCAATTACTAAAGAAAGATCTCTAAATTTTTGCGCTAAATCTGTTGTTTATCAAGATTATTATGATTTTTAAGAAAAATTTCTAAAATTTCTTTTTAAAAATAGAATCAAAATCTCCAAAAATTAATAAAATAGAATTAAATCTTTGAAAAAGGAATTTAATCTCAAATTATCTTTTTCTTTTTCAAATCAAAAATCAAGTCTTAAAAATCTATTTAGATTAAAAATAAAATTTTTCTATCTTACTCAGTTTCCAAAATATTAAGATAATATAAACAAAACATGATTAGGATTCATCTACATGAAATCTAAGATTATACCTTGCAATTTCGATTTTCGTGATTTCATGGTAATTATGTTGCATTGACTTCTTCATAATTCTTCATGATTAAATCTTGCAACAACAATTCAAAGACTAAACATATTGTTAGATAATTTAACTTCACTTATTTTGTTATCATCAAAATTAGAGAAGGTGTGAGACCCAACAATAATAAAAACAAATAACAAGTGAATAATTATGATATGGTTCAATGATGATATATATTAATCTTCCATGTCACTATTGTCAGGATTGTTGCATATATCAACGCATAAAGAAGAAAAATCAAAGAAAAGATAATTTTGTGAGAAAGAACACGATTTAGATTCTTTTTGCCTTCCTTGATGTATAAAAATCTCATTCATCTACCATCCACCGATAGAAACATGGCTTCTTTTTAGGAAAAGAACTAAACAAATCTCCACACATAAGGCCTGGTGCCCGTCAAGAAAAAAGTTTATTTGTGACGAAATTTTTTCGTCACAAATATTGTCACAAATGATAACTTTCGACACAAATAATCAAATTTCGTCACAAATACATTTGCGACACAGGAATTTGTGACGAAATTTACTTGTGACGTAAGAATTAGTGACGAAATTTCATAAAAATTTGTCACTGATAAAATTTTTTCTTGTATGCTCTCATGTCACATTGTTTACTCCCATATGGACCATGCTAGCTTTACATATATAGTTTCATTGTGTTATTAGAAAGGTGGCTAAGGCGATCATATATAGTCAATTTATCATTTTGTACAAAATTAATTATTAGTTAATGAAACTTATTTTGTATTTTATATATATAACCCTTATTTACATTTTTTATAAAGTAAAATAATAAAAGTTTCTAAGTATAATAATCAAGTAAGAAGAAATAAATACATCTATAATCTTTGAGAAAAATATTTATCTTTTTAAAGGATATAATTTTATGTTATTTTAGATCCTAACATTTGATTTCCATCAATCGGTTATATTTATTGTGAATTATTAATTAATTAATAAATTTTACACAATAAATTATAATCGTTAATTGATGGAAATCAACGATTAGTATTCAAAATAACACAAGACTATATCATTTAAAAGAACAAATATTTTTTCCATAATCTTTTTTAACAATATATATTTCATCTTCTTTCTATCGTTTGATTATTGTGAAAAAAGTAAAACTGAAATTAATCACTATTGGTAAGTGATGAATGTGTATTTGTAAGGGTGTTCGCGGTCTGGATTGGATCGGTTTTGGAAGCAAAAATCATCCGATCCAATTTCTTAGGTTTGATCATATAATCCATTCGGTTTTGATTTTTTTTCAAATCCGATCCGATCCAATCCAATTTTTTTGGTTTGGATTGGATCAGTTTTCAGTTTTTTGAAAATCTTAAAATTTATTTCATGATTATTATGCAAATAACATATTTTGCATATATTGAATTTGTAAATTTTTTTTTTTGAAATATAAAAGCATTAGTAAACTATAATATATATATATATTTTTTTTTGCAATGAGATATGAAGCTTACAAAGATAAAATTTTGTTGATGAGATGTGATTAGATTTTTTCTTGGGTTTAATTGATGAGTTAACGGGTCTTGGGTTTAGAAATTTTTAGGCTATGATTAGGGAAAGACCCAAATAAGTAGAGGGGAATTAATATATTGGATCGGTTTTCATCAACCCATCCAAAAACCGATCCAATTCAATTAAAATTTTCGGTTTATTCGGTTATCGACTTTTCGGTTTGGTCACCGTGGTTTAAATCGATTTGGATCGGTTGATGAACACCCTTATGTATGTGTAGTTTTTTTTTTTTTTTTTCAATTTCAATGAAGTGAAGCAAGAAACTAAGTTGTTATTTTTTTATAATGGCTATCTTAACGAATTTTTTGAAGTATTCTCGTTGCACCACTAACTCATGACGACGTACCAATTAAAACCAAAAAAATAAGTACAAGTATCATTTTTTGAATGGCAGCCGCACATACGGCTGCGGTGAAAAAGCATTCCTATCCTAGATATGTTTTGTGTGACGTATAAGAATTAATAGTTCAAGCTTATATTATATGTTATGATATTTTCAGTTGTTTGGTGTGACCATCATATAGTATAAGCTTATATAACAGAATATCTTAATACATCAAAATGATATATAACTTAATCAAGCCTAAGGGGGTGAGATGATAAGAGATTGATTTATTAATATTACTTATAAGTACAATTTTTAATAACTAATATATCATTTCAGTAATATTAATATATTAAAATAATTTTTAAAATATATTAATTTTTAAAATATTAGAGAATATTATCTTATACAATATCATACCAAACGCTAGATAGTATTAAAATTTAATAAGGTCTTCTCAAATCTTATACTATCAGGTTTTATATTATACTATGCATGCGTTAATGTTAATATATTTTTCGAAAAGATGCTCGTTTTGCTGCCTTATGAAGACTGGTTTTTATTATTATAATATTTTAATTTTTTTAAATGATAATCTTACTATCTTAGTCAAGACGCTGTAATGAGGAGTGAAGGGACTGAGGAAGCCACATGTACAATATTGTAAAGTTAGACTTAGGTGAGGTAAGGTGCACCTAAAACCTTCAATCATTCGTATGTTGGAAGGTGTCCTTCGACTAGTAATATTTTTAATTTTTTAATACATTTTTTATTGTCAAATGAATTTTTTATTCATTAAAAATAAATTTAACTTATTCAATAATTTTTTTTAAAAAAAGTACTGACATTTTTTTTAAATTGATGTAGTTGAGTTTCTGCTGTGTATATGACTTTTTTTTTCTTTCAGCAAGACTTACACAAATTTCGAAAAACAGAAATTCATCACTCAACAAACCAAACTAATAAAATAATCACAAAATCAACTCTGAACGTGCACTGTGCAATAATAGTTTACATGTGTATGGATCGTGTGGTTAATGATAACTTCAAATACTTAACTTATCTTTTAGAATTATTTTGTTGTTATTCATTCTTCCTACACTTTTTTCTATTTATATTTACTTATTTCTGATGCAATATTGTTGGAGGATGGTAGGAAAGGTAAAAAAAAAAAAAAAATAGGTAGAATAATTTATCCTTTTTAATATAAGTGATAATTTTAATAATAAATTTTGTCATATATTATTTTATATGATCAAATTATCTTACAAGATCCTAATCACTAATGAAAAAAGGATGATGAAAGATAACAGAAAAAAAAAATATTGAAATATGGAATGATAAAATTACCATATGTTGAAATGACAAAATTACCATATTGTTGATTTATTCATAAATAAATAGGATCGACATAATGTGATGATATTAAATTACACACAATGATATTTACCAAAAAAAAAAAATTACACACAATGATAAATTTCATATAAAAGATCAAAATTTTATTAAATCTTTGTTTTTTTTCCCACTCCAAAGTTGATTCTCCGGAATTTTTGTTTTTCCGGTCAAAACTCTTTTGGGGCTTATCCGAACTCCAATAATTTCTTGTACTGCAGCCAGTCTATACTTTGGGCCGAAAAATCATTTAAAATCCCAATTATCCACATGGACTTTTTTTTTTTTGCCAGTTATTAAATAAAAAAAAATGTGAGTTTCCGCTTTCTTTTTTGGCTCCTTTTATTTTGTATAAGCCATTTTTGTAGTTTCTCACTATATTCTACCGTTATTGATATCTGACACGATATGATATTTTGATACGTAAATTTTAAAAAATATTAGATTTTGATATGTTACAACACATTTTGATATTAAATAATATTTTAATTTATATAATGTATATATATTTAATATTCAATAATTTAACAAAAAAATAAAACTAATCTTATAATACTCATCAATTTTACAAAAAAACATAAGATGTAAATATTTACTATTATATTTTTAAATTAAAAATCTCTTATACACTCAAGTGAGATTTATTTGATATATATTTTTAAAATATTTATTATATCAGTTTGGTAAAATATTAATTAATTTTTTTATGATATATAATAAAATTTCAAATATCATATATATCAGAGTTTGACAAAACGATCAGCTATCGAAGAGTGTCAAATATGACATTTTAAGTTTTTCGAAATGTCAGTGTAATATAAGATTTTGACAACCTACTTTTATTTTAAAGACTCTTTTCTAACTATACTTTGAAATGTATTTGTTTTAAGGATTGTAAAGTTATTTATGAAAAAGTGAATATAAGGGGAAATAATTTCTGCCAAATTATTTTTTACATTGTCCATCACGCTTATCCTTTTTCTCTCCCTCTTTTCCTACAAGTGGTAGAGAAAATGATTTATGTTGTAAATGCAGAAATTATTTTACCATATAAAAATGTGATATTTTATATATTAATTCTAAAAAATTTATGTGTTTTATTTTGTTCTTTTCTATTTCATTCCTTTTTTTTGTTGTTATATATTTCATTCTTTTTTAATCATTTTAAGCACAACCATGGGTGTTTGGTAGGGGTTTTCCTCTTAGATACCTGGGCAACTTTTATCGGTATTTCTATTTGACCATGTTTGGTAAATGATTTTAACAAATTTTACCAGCAAATTGGTTTCCCCATCCATTATGATTCTTTTATAAAAATTGATCAAAAACACTGTTTTAAAAACCCACATGGAGGGTAGTATTTGGGATTTAGATGGAGAAGGGGAAAATGAGCGATATACTGGAGACAATAATGACCCTTGTATATATTATTGAAAGTGGAGTCTCTGTTTTATTTTCTTCTTCATCATTTTGATTAATTTTGTTCTTCTTTTTTAATACCCAATTACTCTTTAACATTGAAAAAAAAAAAACTGTTTTTGTTTATTTGGTATACCCCCAGTTACTCTCATATAGCAAAAGACTATCAATTTCACTAGTTTTCAATTACCCTCTAATTGGCGAAAATATTATCTATTTTCATTGTTTTCTCTGATTTTGTTTTACCTTGTCGTTTTCAATTCTGTTGAAGAATGAGAAATGAATTGGGTTGCTTTTGGTGATTAAAATTATATATATATATATATATATATATATATATATATATATATATATATATATATATATATATATAAGACTCAAGGGTTATTTTGGTAATTTAACTCTATTTTCCTATTAATATTTTACTTTCAATCAAACATAGACTTATAAAATTTAAACCAATTTTTACGATAATTTTTTGGCTTACTAAACAATTTTTTTTTTCACTTTCTTACCAAACTTATTTTCTAATTATTTCCCCAATAATTATATTTCTCTAGTAAAAAAATATTTCTCTAGTAAAAAAATATTTTTCCTTTACCAAACGTCCTCAATATTTGCTAAGTTTGCCCACGTTCAAGAAACCTATACCCTAACCCTCTGACTTAATAAAGATATACGAAGTCTGTATGTTTTTTTTTTTCTCTTCTCTTTATATGACTCATCTTATGTATATCATGCACTTTAATATATGTACGGGAGATAATGAGAAACATTAAAGAGTTTATTTTTCTACCGTCAATGTAGATAATTTATCTATATTGAGTTCAAAACAATATTATTTTAAGGCATAAATCAAAATATTTTTATAATTATAATTTATTTTAAGATTATAATAATCTTTTTTATTATAATTTTTTAATTTTTCAACCGAAATAATTCGTCTTAGATAACCTATCTACTATGTAGACATTAAAGCCAACATTAAATCCATTGAAAAAACAAGAGACATTTTTTCAACAAAATAAAGAGCGGTATTTCACAGCTTCTCTGCTGCTGCAAAAGCTTGAGCAATGGTGGCGGCGCTGCTTGGGCACATTTTGAAGACCCCAAAGCATTCATTTCTTCGCAGCATCAACAGAAGCTTTGACACTATCTTGTCGTCTTCTGTGCATGGAAAACCTTTCATTTTCACAACTTTGTCTCAAGGTACTTTCATTCTCTCTCACCATCACAACAGATCGTACTTCATGAATTTGGGTCTTAACACACCGGTTCCTCTCTCTTTCTTCGTGGGGTTTTGAAAAAGTTCATAACTTTGAAGACAAATAATGCTAAACTTAAAAAAAAAAGGAAAAAAAGGGCTAAAATGATAGCCTTTGCTAGAACTAGAACTAGAACTAGAGGTAGAGCTAGTCTTATTTTGCAGGGGTGTGTGTGTTGATGCATGCATCTTTCATTTAGATACTACAGTGAATTAAGATTCAGAAGGAGCAAAAATGAAAGTCAGTTGAATTTCTTCATGCAGTGAGATTGCTGGGAAATGCTGTAGAAGCTGTTTGTGGATTTGATGAGATGGTTGAAGGGAACCAGAGGAAGTTTTACATGGTTGGTGGTAAGGGAGGTGTTGGTAAAACAAGCTGTGCTGCTTCCCTTGCAGTTAAATTTGCAAATCATGGCCACCCCACTATGGTGGTTTCAACTGATCCTGCTCACTCCTTAAGTGACTCTTTTTCCCAGGTACCTAATGTGCCATGAAATTTTTTATGATATGAAGCTTTTATATGTTTTTAAGAACTTCCTCTTTAGTAGTTCTGCAATCTGGATAAAACTTCAGAGAGGTAATGCTACAGTTCCATTAGGATTTGACAGGGGGCAGGCTTGTTCAGATTGAAGGAGTGAATTCTCCATTGTTTGCTCTTGAGGTAATCATTTTGATTAAACAGAACAGAACATTCCAAATTCAATATTGCTTGGTTGGTCTGTTGCAAAACTGCCATGTCACTCTATGTTGAACCTTTTCATTGTTGACAGATAAACCCTGAGAAATCTATGGAAGAGTTACATACGAAAAGTCAGAAACTTGGCGGTGGGGGCGTTAAGACTTTAATGGAAAGCATGGGACTTGGAATGATTGCTGGCCAGGTGGTTTGTGCATTTAGTTATGAATGTTGCTTGATGTAATTGTTTATGACTTGGTTATATATAATACCAATGATCTTTTTATAATATTCAGTTCTAATCTTTGTTTGGGGCTCATGATTTGCTTTATTATATGATTAACCTGCAAATAATCACTTAATGAAAGTAGTACATACTTAGCTAAATGTAGTCCCCATTAGGATCAAAGGAAAACTGTAGTCAGCTACTATTGACAATTGCTAAAGACACAAATTAGAAATTGCTAGAACATTGAAGAAAAATTGAAGTTTTAGACATTCTCTTTGGAAGTTTGGTATTAAGAACTGCATTGTCTGTGTGGTGATACAAGTAAGCAAACTCTTAATATTTTTTAATCCATTTGATTCGATGTTTGTTCTTGTCTATGTCAGGATGTGAGTCTACGTTAAATGCTATTATAACATTTCTTTTCTCTTGTTTAATGAAATTGCCATAGTTAGGGGAACTCAAGCTGGAAGAGCTGTTTCATACTCCTCCACCCGGAACAGATGAAATCATTGCAATTTCCAAGGCATGCTTTTCTTTTCTTTTCTTTATTTTTTTTTTTAACATCCAAATGATGCGGATATTAAACATACATGAAGATGTGCTCTGCTTCTGTTTCCTAATTATGCTGCTTTGATCCAGGTGATGCAATTTCTTGAGTCACAAGAATATAACATGTTCAATCGGATAGTTTTTGATACAGCACCAACAGTACGTAAAAATTATTGGTTCATTTATGATGTATTTAGATTTATTTAGAAAAAATGATTTTTTACATCTCTTAATTTCATTTATAGGGTCATACACTTCGGTTACTGTCACTGCCTGAGTTCTTGGATGGATCTCTAAGCAAAATAATAAAGGTATAATCCATGTGCATATTAAACTTTATCTAAATGTATAGTGTCAGTTTACCAAAAAAAAAATGTATAGTGTCATCTATACTAGAATTTTACTAACAAAATCAATTACATTATCCAGTTGAAGGCAAAATTGGGTTCAGCCTTCAAGTCTTTAATTGGAAAAGAAGAACCTCAAAGTGATGCTGTAAGCTATTATATTGTTATTATATGATTTTTCCCCCTTTTGAAATTCTAATGTTTGAGCCTGCAGTCAGACAACCTTGAAAAAATTAAGGAGAGGGTAGCAAAAGTACGGGACCTTTTCCATGATTCAGACACTACCGAATTCATAATAGTGACGATCCCTACGGTATGTTAAGCTTCTGTTTTGCAAGACAGACTGGAAACTGAAATTCCAAAGTTGAAAACAAAATGTTTAGCAATTGGCATTCATTTTGCAAGACAGACTGGAAACTGAAATTCCAAAGTTGAAAACAAAATGTTTAGCAATTGGCATTCATTTTGCAAGACAGACTGGAAACTGAAATTCCAAAGTTGAAAACAAAATGTTTAGCAATTGGCATTCATTTGTGCCAAGTTTATGGAGTTGGTTCTTCATTGTAAGGTCACAAACTCAAAAGTGTAATTTACTGCTTTATTTTATGTATAATAAACTTTGATCCCATAATAAGTAGTTTTGAATTGTCATATTTTTGCAACTTTTTACAAATGGAAGCCTTTTTAGTTAATTTTAAATAATATCTTAAGGAGTTGAACAACTCAAACTTAGCAATGAATTTATTTTCAAAGAAGATAGAGGAGTCTTTGTGAACTAGAGAAATCTTAATGAGCAGTCCATGTTATATCATAGACAACTAAACTAATCATATGCTTTGAAAAATGTTGATCACGCAAAATGTCAGTGATTACTTTTTATTTTTGTAGGTTCTGCATTCAACAAAACCATTTGCTTTGGCCTACATGCATATTCATACATAAATGTTTTGCAAAAAGGCCTTGTGTTGATGTCGTTCTAGCTGAACATCATGAGCTAGAACTATGCTAATTCTGGTAATCAAGCATGCTTTAGAACATAGCAGCATTTTATGGGATGCATGTGGATTCAACCATAATTAATTCCTCAAGCAGAGTCATTCGAATGACTTTCTTACTTATCCTCAATATGATTGCATTATACTTTTTGTCTGCATAACATTTTCTTTTTTCCTTTCTAACCTTTGTTTTACTTTTATCTATATACAATTTGCGCTGCAACCACATTGTGATCGATTGATTATAAACTATCCAAGGTTATGGCAATCAATGAATCCTCAAGGTTACATGCATCCTTGAAGAAAGAAAGAATTACTGTCAAAAGACTTGTCGTTAATCAGGTCTTGCCTTCCACATCAGACTGCAAGTTTTGTTCGATGAAAAGGAAGGTAATCTGAAATTATCCTTCCATGTTTCTATCTATGTGTATTAATTCGTCGTCATGGGGTTTTCACATTTATTATTGGTCAAACTTGCTTGGTGAGATTTTATACATCTTTTTTCTATGAGAACATTGAAATTTGTGTAGGTTTAATAAGCAGTAAATAATAGGATTGCATATTTTAGATAAACACAGGACATGATGCATCAAAAAGATGGAATCAAATTAAATTTATGCTGGGAATATGTCTTAGCAATTTGGATTTTGGACGTAAGTGCTTGCTACAGTAGCTGTACAAGCAAACTGTTCTGATGATGATGATGATAGATTTATAGGGGTGGCGGTATAGTGAGCAAGTTCTAGCCACAGCTCAAAATGTTGTACCTTTTATTTAACATTCACACGGAAAAGGCTGTTTAAAATAATTATTCTTCTCAAGGAAATGTATTGATAATTGTTAGCACAAGAAACTAATTAAGGCATTGAATATAAAACTTATCCGCTTGATTATTGTTTCTGTTAATGCAGGATCAAATGCGTGCAATTGAAAGTATCCACAATGATCCAGAACTTGCTGGTTTGAGATTATGCGAGGTACCCTTAGTGGATATGGAGATAAGGGGTGTCCCGGCTCTCAAATTCATGGGGGATATTCTTTGGAGATAAAAATTACATTAGAGAATTTATGAGTTTCAAGAATATGGTTCACGTTATAGAGGCACTGATACATTCTTTTAAATTTTAGACGTTAGTCTATTATTGTTTTTTTTTTTAATGAAATACACTGGTGTAATGTGTTCACAATTCCACACTGATAGTTTTTGACACAGCACAAATGATCTGTTACAACAATCAATTCACGCAAGCATTTATTGAAAGATTAGAATAATTTATTAATCTACATATTAGTTGATTGTATCATATCATACAATTTGGCTACTGTTACCACCAGACCAATTGATGGAGGCATGAATGATAATGTTAAAACTTAAAACTGTTGAAGCTTAGTCTTATGCAGAGCTTGTTGTTGAAACATATTGGAAACTAGAAATTGCGTTAAAAACAGCAATCAGGGAGAAAGGGGTATCTTTTAAGGGAAGTCTAATGCTACGTTATCCACACCTAACAATTTGTTGTCAAACATGCTCTGATAATCTTGTGTTCATGCCAGGATACAACCCATGTCACATTGCTTTACGAGTTGTTGGGCACAGGTCACAAGTTGTAGCACCAGCCAGAGTCTTGGACATGCTGTCTTTACTTTGTCCAAAAAGAAATCAGAGGGATTGAATTGCTGAAACTACTTCTTCTGGAAGGTTATCATACAAAAAAATGCAAGCATGCGACTAATTATTCCTGTTACAATAAGAAGGCCTAAACATTGATACCAATGTTTGAGATCATAGCCATAGGAATGGAGTGCACCACATCGACTTATTAACCAAACTCCTGCATATCTGTATGGAAGAAAATTATCTAGCAATCAGCATTTAGTAAACGTAGAGATAAATCAGCATCAACATATCAGAAGAAAATCAAACCTTTGTGCATTAGATATTACAAATGCTTCAAGAGCCCACTTGGTGTAGCACAGGTCAGATAGAAAACGAATATATTTGCTATCTTCTTCATTATCATAGGTTGCTACGAGAGTCAAAACTACTGGAAGTAACACTGACCACTGCATGGCACACAACAAATGACATGTAACTAAGAATAAGATATAAGCACATCACCTGCTGATGAAAGGGAATTGATCCTTCTCATGTGATATGAGGTCATGTGCAAGGATCTTAGCCGTTCAAATACAAATCAATGGTTATCCTTTATCTTAATGCATTCTTTTATCACTATTGATTTGTACATGAACAATTAAAATCCCTTTATATGACCTCATGTTACATGGGAAGATCTATTTCCTGGTTGAAAAGATTAAATACTCACCAGTTGGGCTGGACCTGGTTGAAAGAAGATTGCCAACACATAAGCTATGCCAGTGACACAATACACCAAACATAGCAAAACAATGTAGTTATCTATGACAGATGATCTTGGATTGTTGAAGAAATAGAACATAGAGAGATAAACCAAAGGTTTGACAATTGTACTGAAATGGTCAACCGTATCCTTTGAAAGAAAGTAAGCCAGGCTACTCATGCCAGAAGCACTTTCCCTCCAGTAGTGCAACTTATCCAATGCGAATGATCTCAGAGCCGCAATCTTGGAAAGGAGTGCTGAAAGCAAGACAATATCAGATGACAAAGAAGTAGGTAAGTTGGTAATAATAATAACTAGAGGAAGGTTATATTTACAAATTTTTTGTTTACAAACTCTTACAAACTACACTATGTCTGACCGGTCATACTTCAATCAAGAGTGTATGACCGGTTATATTTAGTGTAATTTGTAAAAGAAGTTTGTAAACGGATCATTCCCCTAATAACTAGTAACAAATTTAGATGAAACTTACATACTGCTATTACAGTGTATGTATAGCCGGTTGCTCCAAACGATTCATCACTCACTTTGGCAAGTGTTCCTAAGCAGAGGCCAGCTATCAGCAAAATCAGAAAATCTACAAATTGTGTTCTAGCTTCTCGTAGTCGCTGCTTTCCAACTCTGCATGGAACAAAGAGCAAAATCAAAATCAAGTTTTGACATTTCATTAACAGAAATATCCTCCCTCTTGTAACTTACCTTCCAAGAAAGTATTTGTATTGTTGGAACGCTCCTGGTGTCAACCGATTGGACAAATCATTTGAATTTAGGAAGTTGTGTTGAAGGTTGTCCCTCTTCAACTCAACGGTGTACTTTACATCCTGCCAAAGTTCTCCAGCAAAGGAAGGTGCATCAGCATTCTGTTCAGGCATGGCTGCTCCATGTGCTGAACCTTCACCACTTGTGGCGGCTAATCCCTCAACACTCTGTAGCATATCCATAGGCACCGGGTAACCATTATGAAGCATCCATCTAACTGGTAGTTGTTTGTAGTTTACTCCTGAGCTTGCACTTGGTTTTAATATTCCTTCTAAAATGTCAATGTAGTAATCTGGAGGGTTGACACGGTCAGGGACAACAATCCCCAAGCTTGAAAAGTACTCTTCCACTTTGTTCACGGGTCCATGATACACTGTAAGACCTCCTTTTGCAAGCAGTATAAAATCATCAAACATCTTGAACAAGGTGTAACTGAAGATCACACAAAAATAGAATTAAAAAGATCATTATTTTGGGTTACCAAAGAGAAAAATAACAGTTAATCTACTTGATTTCATGTCTTGAACAACCTCTCGGAAAAGCTTAAAATGTTAGGTGAAGACACATGAATAGATTCGTGTTATATCTCTATCACAACCCCTGCCGTAAAGAGTCCTTTGGACTTAAAGTGTAGACAATGCTAATTTATCTTGTGCTGAATTTCAACTTTTTTATTAGAAAAATGTGGGTGGTAAGGATCAAACTCTAGATGAGTTAATCATAGAGCTCTGGTACCATGTCAAGAACTAACTCTTCCAAAAGCTTAAGCCGTTAGATGAAGACACGTGAATGGATTTATAATATATCTCTAACATCCCAAACACTCATAATGGTAAGTGACTCTACTGTGTGGTAGGTTTCAGGAGCTGTTTTCATATTTTACAATTACCTCGGTTGGTGAAGGACCATACATATGTTTACTCCTTCAAGAGCCTCACGTCTAAGTGCTTTAAGCAGTAACTGAGAAGATGAGCTGTCCAAACCAGATGTGGGTTCATCCAAAATTAGAAGGGAAGGTTCCATAACCATTTCCAGTCCTACGTTTACTCTTTTCCTTTGACCTCCAGAGATTCCTCGCTTCTCCACTGTCCCAACCAGAGAATCCCTTATTGCCTGCAGACCCAAGGACTCAATGACTCTTTCAACCACTAACACCTTCTCTTCTTTCGGTAGATCAGCAGAGAGTCTACAATGGCATATAAATATAGTAAAAAGTGAGAGGAGATGCAAGAAAATGCATTCAATACTCTTAAACCTCTAATCTACTTGGCATATGAAAAAGAGTAGCTAAATAATTACCAGTTTTTATAGAAATATTTTAAACTGTACTTGTTAACATGAGAGTCATGCAAGAGAATAAAGTGCTCTCAATATGGAGCATACCTGCATCTGGCACTGAACCACAGATTCTCCTCCACAGTCAAATTGCCATGCACAATATCATCTTGTGGCACAAAACCAATTATCTTCTTGTATGACCGAATAGATGATTCCTGGCCATTTACAAAAACTTGCCCAGTTGTGTTACATCCAGTTGCTTTTCCAGTTAAAGCAGAAAGAAATGTTGTCTTACCAGCCCCAGAAGGGCCCATAACTGCTGAAACTCTGCCAGGATATATTTTACCAGTCACACTTCTTAATAGATGTTTGTTTTTCCCTTTCAAAGTGAGGGTTAAATCTTTGAAAGCAACCTCAATGGTAGGTCTCTTCCTTATCTCAATATCACTGGCCATTGAAATCACTCCAGAGAAGGTCAAGTTTTTATTTTGTTCCTGTAAAGCCTTTTCTTTCTCAATCTGACCATATGCATACTTGAAAATTTGGCTCTGAGTATGCAATGCCTTACCCCTTGGTGCTTGCTTTTTGACATTTTTATCTCCTATCTGTAGATTAAACCCTTCTTGACTGTCAGGGTCTTCCTCAATGTCATTTATTATTTTTGTGAGGTTGCTTTTATCCTTTTTCTTTCCTTTTGATGTACCAGCACCTCCTGGTGCCATAGGTGGTAAGACACCTTTGAAATCTGACTTATTTGAAGTTTTTTTGCGCGAAAAAGTACGCGATAATTGTGATTGCAATCCTACTGCATGCTTCTTAGCAATATCTTTTGCAGATTTCCATTTTTCACGTGCTTGTGTTTCTCTTACACTTTGTGCAGCCCTTTCTCTTGATTTTGCTTGTCTTCTTTCTCGAGTTGCAAGAACTTGATCAGAACAGTTATATATGATAATAAGCATGAAACACAAGCCAGCCTGCATTGAAAATTGAAGAGTCAGTTCCACTGGACCATTGTGCACCTCCATGTTCTAACTTGCTACATATTCCTCTATGTATGAAATAGTTATGTAACTTATGCAATGAGCAATAATTCATAAATTGTAATGTTTATAGATTACTCACAAAAACCAGGACACCATATGCAGTAATATTCTGATTTGCTGATTTAGGCTCACAAGTTGCCAACCTGAAACACCCTGGAGAAGAAAAAAATCAAGAAAGGAGAAAGGGTCACTGGAATTGTTATCTTGCACTACAGTTAATCAGCCTTCACACCCATGGTAAAAGCGTATTTCCTACTGATGTATAGTTGTATTATATATGCATTAGCATATTGACTATCAAATGAATAATAGATACATCAAGTAATAGCAAAAGAATGATTCTTTTGAGAGTAACATATTAACGTCTGCCAACTCCAAAGCCTTCGTATGAGATTACTTAATACTTGATGACACACCTAATAACTTGCCCCTGTAGTCACATTATATAAATTTCCCAGACTTACTTTGCAATTATTTGCATGGGTAAGGCTACATACAAGAATTGCTCTTACCCCACACTCGCTAGACGGGTTTAATTAGGGAGTGGTTTATGAACATAGAGAATGAGAATGGCCATAGAAGAATATGATTACTGGTAGTAACTTCAACTCGAAAAAAGAGAGATCAAATAACAGCCTTGGAAAACTTACGCTCTTGTGCAGTAGAACCTGTTCTGCAGTAATACCTGCAATTTATATATAAAAGTAGCTCAGAATAATATATATATATATATATATATATATGTACACATTAGAACAGACAATAAGCAGAAGCACTGAGAAACCAAGTGGCTGCTTATAAATTTAAGAACAAGTGCTAAAAGTTAAGAAGTTTAGGGATAAATATTAATACCCCTCTTTGCAAGGATTTTTTATGATTGTAGATGGACAGTATGATCCTGCTGAACAGAATACCTCACCACTACTCATAATGTCTGCCCAAATATCTGCTCCCCCACAAGTATGGTTAGCCTTTCCAGGAGGTAGCTGATAACGATATCTGCATATTGATTCTGCTGATAAATATTAAAGTATGCCAAAAATAAGAATGCAGAACAAGTAAAACCAAAAGGGAAGGACTTACGGTTCACATATTCCACTAGTTTTATTGAGCTCCGCACGTGGACAGTAAGACCCCAATGGACAAGCTTCAATGGCATACAAAAAAAGATGGCAACAAATGAATGACATTAGAGCATTCAAACACATAGAGAACATAACTACATAGGAAAAGACATATGAAAAATGAAAACAACAATATAGTGTTTGTGTTGGATGTTGTATAAGCATAAATACTCACGAATCATGCAGGTGATACCATGAGGGCAAAAGAAACCTTCACAACAAGGTTGACATTCAACAGATCTAACAGGTATCTCCTTTTTGTTACTGTTAAGGTCTACTTTCTGATTAGCTTTACATCCCCATCCAGGTTCACATCCATTAACCCATGAGCTCAAATTACAGTTTATGTTGGGCTTCAAAAAGTTGGATTTGGTGCTGGTAGCAAAACTTCTGGCATAGGCTTCTATTTCTCCTGCTGTGCACACGCGTTGTGTAATATCTCCTGAAAATGTCACCAAAAAACAACACAAAATGTCCCAAAAACTATCAAAACACAAGTCCTTACACATTTTGCATGATTACATTTATTTTTCCTCATGTACATTTATGATGATATGATATGATCATATTAATATTTATACAAGTGCTAGACTTATGTGTCTATTAAATTTTTGTACATTTATCATTACCCAATATACACATATCAAGTACCTTTCATTTGCTGGGCACAAATGGTCAAAAAGCTCAGATCTTTGGTGAAATTGAACGCCCCATCCCAATCAGAGTCCCTGATCAAGGAAAAACAAAGTATGTCATTTATATGAATTAACACTACAAAACATGAAAGTTATTTGTAAACAGGATTGGTACTCACACATCAAGTATGCAATAACCCAACTCTTTTTTTATTGCAGCTTTGAAAACAGTTGTATAATTGGACATGCTACGGTAAATTTGCTGGGCGAATATCTCAACCCCAGCACCACCAGAACCTTTGTTCTGACATGAAACTAGTCCTGGCCCCACAATGAAGCTGATCAATACTACAATTATAACCAAATCAACCTTCCTTATTATCTCCTTTGGTCCCTCTATTTTGCTCATCGTAGATTTGTTTCTTTTTTTTATTATTATTTATATACAATTTGGAAGATTTATTGATAACAGAACGAAAAAAGAAATTCATAGGTACAAAAGGGTAGATTCATGATGAATATTGGTTGAGGAGTAGAGAAGCAGAACGGCAAGAAAGAGAGAAATGGTAATGGAGAATTGGGAACCAGAGAGAGAGAGAGAGAAAGCGCATTTTCCTATGAAGAAATGGCGGCAAGGAGGAAGAGTTGGCGATGTATGTGGGAGCAGCATTTGCTTATAATCAAATGAAACAAATTTTACGTAGTCCATGAATTTTTTACTGAATGAATTATATCTACAAAAAATAAAAACAAAAACATATGTAACTACGTACGATGATGTTGCAATTACGACAAGTGTCACACTTTCAAGTTTGTCTCTCAAAATGACACATATGCTGAAAAAAACATCGTACTCCAACTTATTTTAATGTTGTGGCACCCATACAAGTACAATTTGTATGCGCTAAAATTTATATATTGTTATATAAATTGTTGTGTTTATCTATCATGAAAAAAGATAGAGGAAAAAAATTGTTGTGTTTTCTTAGTGTTCTATTTGTTTTTTCTCTTTAGTCGTGATTAATTATTATATCTTCGTAATAGTTTTTGTAATTGTTAAGATATATAGTCCCACATTGGTTGTATGTGCAACTAATATGGAGTTTATAAGGTCTTGGACACTCCCACCCTTTGAGCTAGCTTTTGGGGTGATGTATTCCAAAGTTCTTTACATTGTATCAGAGCCTCGCCGCCCCCCACTTTCTCTTGTGGACTTTCTTAGCACAGATAGGCTGGGCTGTTGCATCTTTCACTCTTTAAGCTCAATGGGCTCTCGTGTGAGGGGGCGTGTTGAGATATATATATATATATAGTCCCACATTTATTGTATGAGCAACTAATGTGGAGTTTATAAGGCTTTGGGTACTCCCACACTTTGAACTAGCTTTTGGGGTGGTGTATCCCAAGGTTCTTTACATGGTATCAGAGCCGGCCCTTAAGGTTTTGGGTTAAGACATGGTGTCGGATCCACTTGCTACGGTTGGTGTAGCCTTAGCTCATTGTTGGTGGTTCCCCGCCATAGGCTTCCCTCTGGACCCGCCTGACATTGGTATCAGATATATAAAACCATTAAAAAGCCCTCACCCACTAGCTTAAGCTTTTGGATTGAATTGGTTCTTTACATGGTATCAGAGCCTCGCCGCCCCCCACTTTCTCTTGTGGCGTTTCTTAGCACAGGTAGGATGAGCTTGTTGCATTGTCCACTCTTCAAGCCCAATGGGCTTTCGTGTGAGGAGGCGTGTTGAGATATATAGTCTCACATTGGTTGTATGTGCAACTAATGTGGAGTTTATAAGGTCTTGAGCACTCTCATCCTTTGAGCTAACTTTTGGGGTGGTGTATCCCAAAATTCTTTACAGTAATAAACAATGTTATTCATATATTGTTATACATCAGCATCATTGTATAAAACTATTTTTTAAGAAAGACTATAGTTCAAAAGTTTAGTACTAACTACGAGAAATAATGTCTTTCTACCTTTGTGATATTTATGTTAGTAATGATAGAGATTTTGATTCAGTCACAAAGAAGTTAGGAAAAATCATTCAATTGTAACCGTAAATAAAAGTTGTTATAATAGAACATTCATTGAAAATAATATCAAGAATTACTTTTTTTGTGTGTTGTCATTTGTCCGTCCTCTGTTTCTTTCTCTTAGAGCTTTTCACGTAAGCTCTTCTAACATTGATGCTTTCATTTTGAACACCATGTATGGTTTTCGTTCTCTAAGCAGCCATGTGTTTGGTTTAAAGGGGAGCGTTGCTGAGAATTCATTTCTCAAGAATGCTATTATCTTGGCCAAACTATACACCTACAAGGTCACCGAAAAATATGGTTCCTTAACCAAACATATTGTCCAAGCCCCTATTTCTAGAACAATTGCTGATAGGTATTCCAAGAAGGATTTTCCAGACATCTGTGAAGATTTTGAGTTGTTCATGAGGGTAAAGAGTCGCTTGACAAGTTGCCTCCACCATGTGGGAATTGATGAATAAATTTTTCCCCTCACTTGGACCTTGAGACAAGGTCCCTTTTGTAAGGGTGGGTGATGATACAGTCATAAAGAAGTTAGGAAAAGTCATTCACTTGTAACCATAAATGAAAGTTGTTACAATAATATATCGGTTTTACTTCTCTCATGTTGTAGGAGAGAATTTATCTTATATTGTGAGATAAATTAAGTGGGGACCACCAATTTTAAAAAAAAAATAAAAAATAAAAAAAAGTGAGGCACGTCTTTTTATGTGAGTATAACATGAGAGATGAATCTTATGTAACATAAAAGTATAATTTCCCACAGTATATAGGGTTTATACATAGGGTTTTATGTTTGTTATGTTACATGATGTGACATAACTTTCCTACACACACAATTTTATGTGGGTCCCATCCCTTGATTTTTCTCTCTCCGTTTTTCTCTCTCCTCTCTCTTCTCAATTGTGTGTGTAGGTTTGTTATGTTACATCATATAACATAACAAACATAAAACCCTTATACATATTAAATAGGAAGGCGGGTATCAGAAAGGTATCATTGAAAATAATATCCAGAATTACTTTCTTTTACGTTTCATTTGTTTGTCCTCTGTTTCTTTCTCTCAAAGCTTTTTGCGTAAGCTCTTCTAACAGATTTAGAGAAAGAACTCAATAATTTCTAGAAACAAAATATGTTATTGATGAACCTTTTGTTAGGAATGTGAATTCCATACTCAGGAGAGGAAAGAATTGAGTATTACTAAATTTTCGTAAAAGCTCCCTTCTAGTTTATAAATAATCATTTCAAGCAAACTTTGATATATGAAAAGAAAAGCTAATCAATACATTTAAATAATCCATAATATATAATATATCACAATTATAGAACCTATACTAGCACATTCAAGACATCAAAGAAGCAATTAAAGTTCTAGAAATAAAGAATTCAGAGTTTAGAGAATTACAAACACAATATATCTTGGATCGGTCACCACCACTTGTGATATATGTCCAGAATGAAGTCGATCGATCAATTCTTTCATTATTTGTCAAGCTTTGCGGGTGCTTGACAAACCGCTACAACTTCCAAGCTTCCTGGTACTTGGTAACCTTACAACCTTTAAGTTTATAAGTACTTGGCTACCTCTCAAATACAATGGGTCTCACAACCCTCTCAACTCAAGAATACAAATGGAAATATTTGGAAATGAATATACACTCTTAAAGTGTGAATAATATAAATTGAAGCACTTTGGGCATACAGATTTTCAAGATATGAGCTCAAGAATGTATGATCTTTGAATGATATTGAAATATATGTAAATGATGATCAAAATACTCTCAAAATATGCTTAAGATGTGTAAAAATGATGCCCAAAATGTTTAAGAGTCGTTTGGGATGTATATATAATGTTTCCATTGAAAACTAGTTGTTATAACACTTAATGGCTAGTGAGTAATCGATTACTTTCGTGGAGTAATTGATTACTTTCATCTACAACTTGACAACAAGAACATTGTTTCGTATTTTGGGCATAAAGTGAGCTATTTTTATTGAATTGATGTAATCTTGGTCTCTCTGGAAAGATAAAAGAGAGATCTACAACTTCTATGAGAATATAAGATCCAAATCCATCATCTTTAATAAAAAAATTTCTCTGAAAGACAGCAATCAAATTATGCAGCAAATTTTAAGTTTAAATGTTTTTTAGCTTGCTTTCAACCATTTTTTATGAAAGATCTAGACTTGATAAATATGTTTTGAAGTTGTAAAATATGTCAAGGATTTTTTCCATGGATTTTTCAAATTTCTTTTAAGTATATAAAAGGTTGTGAATTATGCAATTTGAAAAACATGTTTACTTTGAGAAAATCTTTGAGCTCATGCAATGCAATCTACCATATACTCTTACATGTGAGTCTAAGTCTTAGAGATATAATTATAAATAAGATTTTGGACTTCAATTTTTATCTTAGTGCATAGACCTTGACGCTTTTCTTGACTTTTGCACTTTACTTATTAGATTGGCAATACTTGGCCCTTTGTTGGTTTTGATCCTTTTTTACAATGGCTATGATATTGAGCTTCTTTAGATGTTGTCCATGGTTCTTTGCCTTTGAACTTCAAGGCTTATCCTTGTTTTTTCCACTTTGATGACTCATTATAATTCTTGTATGACTTTATTATATATCTTTAATCTTTACATAGGCATGATACTTTTTGCTCTTGATCAAGGTTGTTCTCTTATTGTTGTTGCCATTTTGTTATCATAAAAATATACCTTGTATCTACACCTTTTTCCCCAAATTTAATAGGCTGAATGATACAAGTTATGTTAATTCCTTGGACCGGTGATTTATATTATATCAGTCCAGTGATAAGTCATGGATTCTTATTATATGATGAATTAGAAATGGTTTTGAATTGATGCAATTGTATATTATCCATACAAATTGTATGATTCAATGATTTATTATTATTATTGTTGTTGTTGTTATTATTATTATTTCTTTACTTTCATCAATTCTCATAAAACAAATTGAAAAGTTGAATAAATTTAAATTATTAAATGAAAAGGAATTAAAGGGACACTAGTGAATGCATCCCATTTGATTATTTCATTTTTCATTTTTATTTTTTCTGAAACAAGATATTCAAACATTCAATGCATCTTATTTTGCTTTATCAATGCTCTTTTTCATTATTTTCAAACAAAGGTTTCAAGCATAAATTTATTCCTGGCATGCACAAAATTTTGTTATATCATTGCTCTAACTTCATTTTTTTGAAATACAAACTTCATGCAATGATTTTATTTAATTCGTTTATGACTTGTGACTTACAATTTTGTTTCGTAAGAGTTATAGTTAAGTTGTTTTGTTAATTTTTAGTTTAAAATTGTTATATTAAATATCATGTGTTGTCTATATGATATATGATGGGACGAAAATTCGTACCTATTTAAGCCCATTTTGATGGTAAAACTCTATCCGTTCCGGTAACTGGTAACCATTTTTTGCCTTAAAAACATGTTCCTAGATGTTGAGAACAAAAGCACTAGAAGGGAACAGATGATGATGTAATCAGTTGATAATGCCAGAAAAGGGGAATGGTTTGAATTAGTTGCACACCTGTTCCACTAACATCCTCTCTGACCACTTTGCAGGAAACATTGAAAAGAAGCTTCCAAAAAGTAGAAAGAAGTACAACAATCAAGCAGGAAGAAACATGTACAGCAGAGAATAAAGAGCGGCCATTGGATTAGAGAAAAAGCAAGCATGTGGGTTTCAGAAGAAAAAGGCAAATTTCAACCTTAAGTTGTCCCATCTAACAACTTGCTTCACATATCAAAGCACTATTGCACCACCTCTTTATGCAATCAAGGAACCTATGTAGCACCGATACCGACACGGGACACGTGACACGATACGACACGACACTCCGACACGTAAATTCTAAAAAATATTAGATTTCGACACGTTAGGACACGTTTTGATATCAAATAATATTTTTAATTTATGTAGTGTATATTATATTTAATATTCAATAATTTAACAAAAAAATAAAATAAAACTTAAAATATTCATCAATTTTGCAAAGAAACATAAGATATCCTAAATATTTATATTAAATGGTAATTGTAATCCAACGAATCTAATAGTTGGAACTAAAAACTCAACGCAACCCAACCTTTGAACTTTTTTTGAATTTATATAATGCGTGTTGGAGTGTCGGAGAGTGTCGGAAAGTGTCGGACACGACACGTCAGAGTTTTTGAAGTGTTTGTGCTTCCTAGCATGGAACAACTAAAGCACAATCACAAGATTATCATCCACTCTTCTTTCCTATAAATAGGATGTCCCAACACGAAGAAAGCATCGAATTCTTTAAGAAGAGATCACCTAGTGTAGTCTAAGTTTCTGTTTTTCAATCTTATAGTTTCAACAATAGTTAAGTGACAAGAACCCTTCCTCCATTTTCTTTCCACCATTCGAGACTCCTCACAAGCACTATCTATACTTCTCCATTTTATTTCTTTGTAAAATAAGCCTATTTCCTGTTAAGTAAAGGGAACGTCCTTAAGAGCATCAGCACCCAATAATATACTTCGAGCTATTTTTCATTTATCTTTGAATATTGCATTCACCATAATCACAATTTGAAAATTAGATTAACAAAGGAGATACACATCTGTGAACAATTGTGGATGAAAAAAATAATATATATAAAAATCTTAAATCTCTTTATTATTTCCTTTTTGCCACGACATCTTTCACCTTAGGTCAACTTCGTCCTCACTTATTAGAGCATTGCTATCTCACTATTAAAAAATTCTACATCAAAGTTTGCAAACAAATCAAACTCAAAGGGTGGAGATGCTTGCTCAAACTTTATGCCTTCAAACATGGCAGCTGAATTTGCATCTTGACCTGTAGTTTTGTCCTTAGCTGGTGATGGCAAGACTGAAGCTGATGCAGGTGCAACAACGATGGAATTTGGTGTGTCCACAGGAGATGACATTGTGGTGCCAATGGTGGCAATAATGGAAGGCTCAGCTTGGCGTAAAAGCCACCCAATGGTCTCGCCATGAGTCTTATAGCCTAGCTCATGGGTGAGTTGGAAGATGCGAGCAGCACACAATGATGGCAAGAGAACGCGACATTCTCGCCCATTCACCTTGGCGTGGCGATCCTTTTTAGCTTTAAAAGGAGGTAGTTTTTTGTTAATGGCTTTAAGAGGGAAAGAGGTCTCAGATTTCATAGGTTTGGGTTGGTTGGCTAAAAAAGTAGATGGAGAAGAAGAAAAACATGGAAAGGCCTTATTTAAACTAGTAATTTCTCTGAACTCGTTATATTTTGTGATGCTTTTCTCTATTTTGATCACTTAACACTATCACTAGGAAAATAAGGTTTAGTATAAACTCTCATTTTAGAGGGTTCATAAATATATAGCGTAGCGGGAAGAGAATTATTTGCATTTTTTCTTTCAAAATTTTAAAGTTAGAATATGGGTTGTGAATGATCTAAGCTTAAATTTCTGGTCTAGTGAACGAATATAGAAAAATCATTAATTTCTCTTCTATAACGCCCAAGATAAAGAGATAAGGCATGAGCAAAACAAGCATCTTGTGCCATCGATTTGACACTTAGTCCACCATGGCTTCAATCCAATGTTTGGTGTTATCCGAAAGAGTTCTGGTATATTTTTGGAAGGTAAGTGATCTCTTACTTGGTTATTGAAAATGTAGATGCAAAAAGATGTTGACAAGAAAGTCACAATCAGTGTTATAGTACCTAAGTTCAAGATTTCAACGTTTTCAAACATCCTGCTTAGTTGTCTTTTGTGCATAGGATTGAATTCTATAACTTTTAAATGCTCTCAGTTATGAAGATCTTAGTTGTCTACTCTATATATGGCATGTAACAAACAAATTGACAACTCATTCACAGTCAAGGCTTATAAAGACTCACAGAGACACACGTTTTTTTAAATCCATCCTTGCTTTCCCATTTTCACATGGAAACTTGTGTCAAGGCGTAATAATTTATTTCCTTATCCATTCAAAAAAAAAGATAAATAAATATGAGAGAGAAAAAGTAAAAGACATGGTGATTCGGGTTCAAAAGGAGATCTTGCTGCATTGGCTCAAATACAATAATGATATGACTAATATTAAAATATAAATATTAAATCAAAAATATTTTAGCGCGTTATACATTTTAGGTAATTTCAAAAGGAAACATAAGTCATGATAATATGTCATTCAATTTTTTTTTCTTTTTCTTGTATTATCAAATTTGAGATGGTATCACTACCATCTGAAATTAGCTCTTAATCTATTCATACATGGATTTCTTTTGTAATATCAGTGTAATATTTTGTTTTTTATAAACAAATATATAATTTTTTTAATATTTAACAAATTTTCCATCAAGTTTATTAAAATTAACAAATATCCTTAAGTTAAAAAAAACACAAAGGCAAGCAAATTCCATACACTGCAATTAGTAAAAAGAAAAATAATTTCACTATAATTCCTTGTAGGGATGTGTAAAATAACCAAAAAATTGAACCGAACCACGAACCAAACCGAACTGCACTTAAAATAATCGGTTTTTAAAAACCAGTTCATGAACCGAATTAGTTTTTAAAACCAATTCAAGAACCGAATCGAATTATTTTTGAATCGAACCGAATCACTTTCAAACTGAACAAATCGCTTTTTATTACTTTATTTTTCTAATTTTTTTCTTTAATAAAGAGGGTCCACCCTAACCAGTTCCAAACCGAACCGAACGATATTCGAACCAAACCGAACTGAACTAGTTTTGAACTGAATCAATTTTGAACTAAACCAAATCGGTTTCGAATCGAATCGTTTAAACAAATTCGGTTAGATTTTTCAAAAAAATTAGTTCAATTCGACTCATGCACACCCCTAATTCCTTGCGAATGATGGGAAATAACTGTCTTTAAGCCTAAAACTTAGAGGTAGTTGAGCCATGAACGAGATCTTGCTGCATTGGTTCAAATACAATGATGGTATACTAACATTAAAATATAAATATTAAATCAAAAATATTTTTAACAAATAGCAAAGATTTGTTACTTATTAAGCTGCCACGATGAGCATGATGCAACAAGACAGAAAACTCATAAAAAATACAATACGCTTTTAGAGCCTCTATTTCTCTAACTTATTTGCCTCAAGACTTGAGCCATGTATTGGTTAAATATCATTTGTAATATTTATCCATCACATTAGAAGGCAAGCTTCTTTGACGTAAGTTTTTATTTAAAGATCTTTGATCAAGTTCCATACATTCCTTTTGTTCTGATCTGGTTAAAGTAAGAATTTTTTTATCATCAATAAATCAACATAAAGATCGATACATGTATGATAAATAAAACACCATATATCATTTTATTCCAAGAGGAATTTGTATGCCTGATTGGGCCACTTATCTACTGAGCGAAGAACCTTGATCTCACGGCTAGAGTCTTCCTCTCTATGACCTATTCCAAAATGGCAGCCTTCAACGATGGGAGCATGACGGCTCATGAGGCTTAACCCCAATATAAATAGGCTAGAGAGGGGACCTAGCAAAACCCTAATCAACAGTGTGTCTGATGGGTCCACCATCACAGAAGTCCAATCAGACACTAATGTCTACACTGTGCTGCCCAACTAGGCCCAATACCAAAAGAAGCCAAAAGCCCAACTCAACATGATCACAATGGGCTTATCACAATAGAATAAATTGGAATATCCATTAACCCGATTATTTTAGAAAATACAAAAAACATTAATTAATATTGCCCATATATAAAATTTTTAACATTCTCCCACTTGGGCTATATTAATTAATTGATTTTATCTTAAAATAGTTTTATTTAAAAATGACTCTATCGGGTTAATAACAAGGAAAAAATATTTTACGTGGCCACGATTTTAAAAACAATATTCTAATTCCAGCATCTCAATCCAATCCAATATAACCCCATCATAGGAACATGGCGATCAATATACCGAAAATATCATAGCATATGACCTTCCATACTCACATACAATGAGTATTACATCTTCATGAACCAAGGCCTATCAGTGTAGTAAGAATTAGTGCCAAAATGTGATCAACAATGTAACACATTCTTATCGGTCCTCAATGTAATTTCTCAACAACATGAAATTACATTAGTGCAATTTCCAATCAACATGAAATTACACTCCATAATGCAATTTCTCAACAATATGAAATTGCATTACCGCAATTTCTAAACAACATGAAATTGCATTACCGCAATTTCTAAACAACATGAAATTGCATTACCGCAATTTCTAAACAACATGAAATTGCCTTTTCAATCCAATTTCTTAACAACATGAAATTGGATTAACGCAATTTTCAAACGACATGAAATTGCTCAGGTTAGATAAACCAATATATCATAATATCACACGAGATCTCAAAAATAACTACTTCATCTTTAAACCATACAATATGTTTAAAGATCAAATTGATTCTCAGTCAACAAGAGAAAACAATAATAATGATGATCATCAACATAAACTTTCAATAAATATCATCAACATTAGTCTGCATGCAGAATAATCAAAATGAAAAACAAAACAAAACAAGAAATGGCTCCCACTAATCAAGGGAATCAAAGGAATCCACGACACCTATGTTCTTCATATGTTCTTTAAATAGTACGGGCGTAATCATTTAGTCAGGGGATCTGCCAACATAGATTCAGTTCTAATATTGTCAATCACAACGTCCCTTTTTTTAACCAAGTCCTTCACTGTGTAGTATTTGATCTCCATGTGTTTCGAAGCATTATTGATTTGTCATTCTTGGAGAAAAACACAGCCGCGGTGTTATCACAATAAATCACCATAGGTCTGGCAATAGAGTTTACAATTCGCATATCAAAAATCAAATTTTTAAGCCAAACTGCCTGAGTGGATGCACCATAAAAAGCCACAAATTCAGCATACATTGTGGAACAAGGTTTGTTTTGCACTTTTCCATGAAACAACACCACTAACCAGTATAAAAATATATCTAGATGTTGACTTCATGTCATCTGAGCAACCAGCAAAATCAGCATCTGAATATCCAATAACTTTGAGATCTTCTACCCTTTCGTACACAAGCTTGAAATCTTTCGTGCGTTGTAGATATCTTAATACTTTCTTGGCTGCAACCAGTGATCGTGACCTGGATTTGACAAATATCTCCCAAGGTTTTTAACAGCAAACACAATATCAGGTCTAGTACATACCTGTGCATACATAAGACTCCCAACTGCACTGTCGTAAGGGATATTTTTCATTGCCTCTTTCTCAATGTCATTTTTAGGACATTGTTCTTTATTTAATTTATCTTCTTTTACAACTAGAGCATCACCAGCCTTACACAACTGCATATTGAACCTTTTAAGCACACAATCAATATAGCTTCTTTGTGATAATCCCAGAACCTTTTGGGATCTGTCTCTATGAATTTCAATGCCGAGAACAAAAGAAGCCTCTCCAAGATCCTTCGTATCAAAATACTTTGACAAGAAAGCTTTCGTCTCATACATTAAATAAACATCATTACTGGCAAGCAAAATATCATTTACATAAAGTACTAAGAAGATATATCTACTCCCACTTACTTTCATGTAGATGCAATGATCAAATTTGTTTTCTATGAAACCATATGATCTCACAACTGTGTCAAATTTCAGGTACCACTGGAGTGATGCTTGTTTGAGACCATAGATGGATCTTTGAAGTTTACACATCATATGCTCCTTTCCAGCTTCTTTAAACCCTTCAGGTTGTTGCATGTACACTTCTTCATCTAGAATTCCATTAAGATTTGATGTTTTTACATCCATATGGTGAAGCTCTAAATCAAAATGAGCCACCAATGCCATAATTATCCTGAATGAGTCTCTAGAAGACACTGGAGAAAAAGTCTCTGTAAAGCCAATACCCTCTCTCTGAGTATATCCTTTTACAACCAATCTTGCCTTAAATCTTTCTATTTTTCTTTTATTATCTTTCTTGGTCTTGAACACCCATTTACAACCAATAGGCATGTGCTCTTCAACTAAAACAACAAGCTCCCATACCTAATTATCTGACATAGAATTCATCTGCCTGATCACTGTCAAGAGCTTCTTTAAAAGTCACAGGATCAACTATCTCCTCTACCTCATAATCTTCTTCACCAAGATAAATAAGAAAATCATTAGAAATAGTA